AGAGGTGCCGCAAACGTTTTTGGTTGTAATGTGGATTTTTTTAAACAAATATTATGCTTTATTTTCCATAATTTTACTACACGTGTTTCTGGTCTCGTGACCGTCTTCACGTACCGTCTTCAGGTACCTTCTTATCTGAAGACGGTATATACATACTTTTCTCGTTGGGACCACTACCACCTCTTTCTTTTTTTTATATATATATATATATATATATATATATATATATATATATATATATATATATATATATATGATATATATGTGTGTATGTGTGTGTGTGAATGTTTTTATCCATGAACATTTAAGCATGTATATCTATAGAATATATATATTTTCACTTACTTTTTTTAGAAGACAACAGACACATAACGATATGTTTGTACAAATTTATTTACTTCATCTATTGATCTGAGTTAATTTGTTTCTGACATTTCCTTTAGAAAGCAAATGTCCCACTCCTTCGTTGTCACTCCATATATATATATATATATATATATATATATATATATGTTTATTTGTTTGTGTGAATGTGAGAGAAAGAAAGAGAGAGAGAAAGCGAGTGGGAGAAGGAAAAAGCAATGCTCTAATAAATTGAACTTTTGCTTGATTCTTGAACTTTTCTTGAAGTACAGATTATATAAAAAAGGCAGATCTCTGAGGCAGAGAAAAGTAAGCAAGTGTAAAGGGCCTAGAAATGTCATCTTAAGAAGAAGCAACGGTGACATAATGAAAGAGACGAGTAAGGATTGAAAGCACATATATAAAGACTGCAGTAGGGTAAACAGAAAATAATGAGGTCGTTATGCGCCCCTTCTAACAATGACCTTTTTGGGTTTTTTTAATTATTATTACGAATGTTTGTTATTCTTTGGGCGTAGGAAACGAATCGAAAGAAAACGGGTCATTTTTTTATCCAGTATCTTCAACATCCGTTTATATCTTCCCCTTTATAAATCTGATCGTCTGTCAAAGAAAAAAAAAAGATTGGTCTGTCAATAATTGCTAAAACGCAAATACACCAAACTTTTACTCTATTTCTCTTGAATAATATATATATTCATCCATACGTGAAATAACTTATTATGCATGAGTTTTGAAAATAAATACGTATATAGTGATTTTCTAAGCCCGGCTTAGATGTCGCACAAGGCCGAAAGTTTGGGGATATATACGTGTATATACCTGCATTCATTATCTGTTTCAATGATGAATTATTAAGTTCATACTATGATGAGAAATACATATTTTATTTAACAAATATTTTTCAGCATGAACACTTCTTTTGTAAATGTGCTTTACACCTCACGATTGGTTACATATACACAACATTAAACAGAAAAAAAATCAGATAAATTTTACGAATAACTTCATCGGGTTTATTAATATGCTATCAGTATATATATATATATATATATATATATATATATATATATATATATATATATATATATATATATATATATATATATATATATATATATATATATATATATATATATATATATATATATATATCAATCGTCACTCTGATTAAAATCTTTATTTACTTTTTATTGTGTTCATACAAGTGTTTGTTTTGGACATAAATTGTATAAAAATTGCCCGAAAGTTCTGCATATCTGAGCGCATTCGCATATATATATATATATATATATATATATATATATATATATATAGATAGATAGATAGATAGATAGATAGATAGAAAAAAATAGATAGATACATAGCTTTTTGAATTTGATTACGATTCCAATGTAATAAATTCTAACCATTGAATATTAGTGTTTGAGAGCCTTTAAATTATATATATATATATATATATATATATATATATATATATATATATATATATATATATATATATATATATATGTATGTATTTATGTATAAACAAGTGTAATACCACTGAACATAAATACCTATTTAAAAAAAAAAAAAAAGCAAACGCATTTTCTTTCTCTTTAGGGCTCCTTTCGGCTAAAATTTCGTAAGAAAGAAAACATTGGAGTAGTTTATGACGAAAAAAAAAACACAATTCAAACGGCAATGAAGAAAACAGGAAAAGTGCGGAAATTATGGATCACGATTAAAATATATCTATTGGTAAAATAATTTACAAATAAAAAATAATTAGTTCCAAATCAGTATAAACCGAAGAAAAATAGTCCTCACGGCCCTCCTAAAAGATTGAGGCAGCGAATGAAATGTCACTTCTGCTTGTAGAGAGCCGTTTGATGTAACTTAATGTTCTCCGCTTCAAGTATACGTAAATGATGAGCGGACCGGGCTTTGTGCAACATTGTGAAAGAATTGTTCACATATTTACTTGCACTGTCAAGTTTATATAGCAAGTACTTCAATGGCAGAATCATTCACAGACTGAGTTACTCTTAAACTACTTAGTCTTATAATGGCAGGAACGTCCTAATATATCGGGGTTTCAGTTGCTGATTGGTTTAGTCCTGCGTATTCACCTTCACAATGACATTTAAATTTGTACACAATTAAACTACTTTGGAAATCGGAAAAAAAATCGAGGGACGCACCGAATTAGTCTCCAAAAGAACACGCAACCCGACAGTGGAAAAATCTGATGTAACACAAGCCGGCACTCTGGCAGCTAGCGTTTAACTTTTCCCATCCAGCCATGGTAATTTTAAATAAACAGGGCAAAAGCTGGGACCAAAAACTATAGGTTCTTTAAGGCGTTTAATCTAACGCTCAAAAAGGCGTTTAATGAAATTCGCAGGATATTTAGAGTTACAAAAAAAACCCCAAAAACAGTGAATGTTCTCCAGTCCATGATCGAGTCTACATGAGCAAATCATCAACGCGCGATGAATCAAGACCAGTTGGTGTATAGACAAGTAAACGTAGGCTTCCGATAAACACTGGTAATTAACCAACCAGTTTTACATTCAACCAATACGTCTGAAAAAAACAAAACAAAGTACAACTGCTTTTCACTTCCATGATTAATTGAAGGGATGGATAAAGGAAACTGAGTTGGCTATGATTGAATCGAAAACAGAAAAAAAGTATCATCAACATAACGTATATATACGTGGGGATTACAATATCTTTAAAATTTTTTTGCCAAGCATTTCACCCCTAGCAAGGAGGGAAGCCACTAGCATACAAGGGTTGCAGAGAGTTGGAGCAAGAGCAAATAGGAGTGATAGAGGAAAGGATGAAGAGAAGGATAGGGGATAGATCAAGGCAACTGGAGACGTCGATTGACATTACATTTGAATAGTTGGAGATTATAGCTATCAAGGGAAAAGGAGTAGGGAAGGGAGTTCCACAGGCTAGAGGTGTGCGACATGGAGTAGAAGAGTCGGCTACATTTAACAGTTTCAACAGTGAAAATGTGAGAGCGGGATGCCTGCCTCGTAGGACGCTTGAATTCGCGAAATCTTGGAACCAGCGAAAGCAGCTCATCGGAGCAATTACCATGAAAGTATTTGTAAAAAAAGACAGAGAGAGGCGACGGCACGTCTGTGAGAGAGCGACTGCAGACGAGATGCCAGATCAGGGCCAATTACATTGCATATCCGTCTCTGGATCTTATCAAGAACCCCGAGGCAAACAGAAGGGGCTCCAGACCATATAAGACAGCAATACTCCATGCAAGGGCGAATGGTTGATTTGTAGATCTGGAAGGTTCGATTCCGGGGAGAAAAGTTTCCTAGCGGTGGACGAAGCAATTGACTCAATGTATTTGTTCCATCTCAGGTCAGCAGTCAACGTGAGACCGAGCAGCCGCAGAGAGGCGCTCTCGGGAAGTTGAGCGTCAGACATTCTATTGGGGAGCAGGGAAAGATCTCTATGGTGATTAATAAATAGTTTTCGAAGCATTAAAGTTGACCAGCCAATTTCTGCCCCAGTTCACAACCGATTGGAGGTCCTTTTCGAGACGAACGGAATAAAAGGCTTTCGTGAAAACCAAAAAAAAAGTCGAACTGAACCCTTTATTTCGCCCACTGGGGTAGACTCTTCTAGTTCCACGTGCCATGTCTAATGGATGTCATCAGTTTTCTCCTGTTAATTTCCCTCTGAAAGTTCTCCACCGCCTTAACCGGGTATTGAACTCACACTCTTTGGGCCCTGAGATTGGATCTAATTAGAACAGTCTTCCCCAGTGAGCGAAATAAAGGGTTCAGTTCGACATTCCAACCATATGAAGAATGTCAAACCTTACAACGGCCGAAACGTTGTAATAAATATGGCGACAAAGATGAGGACAATAATCCGAATAATGTAAATAGTGTACATAATACCTCACCTCAGATATATAGACAGATACTGAAAGGCCGAAACGTTGTAATAAATATGGCAACAAAGATGAGGACAATAGTCCGAACAATGTAAATAATTTACATAATACCTTATCTCAGAAATATTGACAGATACTGAAGGGCCAAAACGTTGTAATGAATATTGCAACAAAGATGGTGACAATAGTCCGAATAATGTAATGAGTGTACATAATACCTCATCTCAGAAATATAGACAGCTACTGAAGGGTCGAAACGTTGTAATAAATATGGCGACAAAGATGAGGACAATAGTCCGAATATTGTAAATAATATACATAATACCTCATCTCAGAAATATAGACAGATACTGAAGCGTAGAAATGTTGTGATAAATATGGCAACAAAAATGAGGACAATAGTCGGAATAATGTAAATAGTTTACATAATACCTCATCTCAGAAATATAGACAGTTCTCATAAAATGTCAGATAGTACTCAGGGACTGCCCATAGAAACTCCATCAACTTGGACATACATGGTGTTGTTAAAGTTAAATTTCTACTATTGCTGAAGTTAATTTCTACTATTGCTGAACGTATAAACAAACTTTCAGGAATTAAGACGGAAGCCAGGTGACCTGTATAAAGTACGTCAATGCAGATTTGTAAGATATCCTGAAGTGGGAGACATTTATTTACAAACTGACAATATCGGTGCGACGCGCCTCAAAGGTGCGACGGAAGAGGATAGCAGGTGAGCCGGAAGAGGATAGCAGGTGAGGCAGAAGAGGATAGCAGGTGAGTATGGAGAGGATAGCAGGTGAGGCGGAAGAGGATAGCAGGTGAGTCTGAAGAGGATAGCAGGTGAGGCGGAAGAGGTAAGCAAGTGAGTATGAAGAGGATAGCAGGTGAGGCGGAAGAGGATAGCAGGTGAGGCGGAAGAGGGTAGCAGGTGAGTCTGAAGAGGATAGCAGGTGAGGCGGAAGAGGGTAGCAGGTGAGTCTGAAGAGAATAGCAGGTGAGGCGGATGAGGATAGCAGGTGAGGCGGAAGAGGATATCAGGTGAGGCGGAAGAGGATAGCAGGTGAGGCGGAAAAGGATAACAGGTGAGTCTGAAGAGGATATTAAGTGAGGCGGAAGAGGATAGCAGGTGAGGCGGAATGGTTGAAAGACAATCAAAGATTTAGAAACAGTTTCAAAAAATCCATATGCCAAAAATAAATATGTTTTCAAAATTTAAAATATTATTATGTAACTTGTAATTGCATGCATGAGTTATTAATTATTAATGATCAATTTTATCACTGCGATATTTTTGCATTATATCAAGTATTAAGAATATAGTAAACAGGGTCCGCGAATTGGAGGAGAGGGTTATCAATAATAATGTTCTGATTTAGAATCTGTGGTTATCTCACTTTAACCATCTCTGTATTTATTTTTTTTTATTTTTAAATGTACTTTTTATCACAGAAAATTTTATGAGGCCCGTGCAAATTTTCATTCCGAAAATGCGGCCCAGAAAAAAAAAAATTTGGGAATCTCTGACCAAGTCAGGTAGAATTCAGTCAATATAACACAATTTGTGCCATATTTAACTTGTTTTATTTTGTGTCGTCAAATTAGAATGAAACGAACAGAAAATACCGAACGCAATTTTTGAAACTTTTTTTTATTGTAAGTTCACAAATATTAAAACTATTTAAGTTTGCAATATGTAAAAAAAATTGAAAGATATTTAAAACATCCACAGATCCTTTAAAACATTAAACTGACCACTATATACTTTTGGTTCTACCTATCAAGCACCAAATATCAGTTTTCGATATAACTTTCCTTGTATTTATCATTATCTTTGTATTTTTATTTGATATCACCCCATGTAAGGGAGTAAAGCCACTAAGACACAAGGGTTAGTGGCTGTGGAAGAATTAGTAACAGAAGCATAATTAATGAGTGAGAAAAGGAAAGAATAACCAGGATATTAAATAGCAATTGACAGTGCATTTAAGTTTTTGCAGATTAAAGTTGGCTGGAAAGCATGGAACTAGAAGGGAGTTCCACAAGCAAGGCAATAAAGCCACTAAGACACAAGGGGTTACTGGGTGTAGAAAAATTAGGAACAGAAAAAAATAATAATAAGTGGGGAAAGGAAAGAGTAATGTAGGAGATTAGTATATAACGATTGACTTTGCATTTAAATTTTAGCCGATTAAAGTTAGCTGAAATGCATGGAGCCGGAAGGGTGATCCATAAGCAAGGCAGTAAAGCCACTAAGACACAAGGAATTATCTGGATGTGGAAGAATAAGGAACAGAAACATTAATAATGAGCGGGAAAAGGAAAGAGTAATCAGGAGCAGTAGGCAGCGATTGACATTGCATTCAAATTTTTGCTGATTAAAATTGGCTGGAAAGCATGGAGCTGGAAGCGAGTTATATAAAATCTTCATTCCTTTGTTATTATATTCTTTGGTGATGAATGTATTTTATGCAGCTAAAATCTCTAAAAAAAGAAGTCTATATGGTTTAAAATTCACTGGTATATAGGAGCCGCCATATTACATAGCAGTTCAGCAGTCCTGGAAATTTTCAATATCTCTTTCTGATTCTATTTATAGTATCCTTTTTTCCTTTGATTTTCCTTAAAACTTCCTCGTTACTCACACGTTCGTAATATTCTCAGTATCCTTCTGTAGTACAACATTTCTGTTGCCTCAAGTCTCTTCATCTGTGAAAAATGATTTTCCATCTTTCAATACTGACAGAATTGTTGTGGTAGGATCCACCTAATTTGCATAGTGGAGTACCGACCATATAAATATGGTTGGTACCGGGAAGAGAGGGGGGGAATCTAGAGATTCAACCAGAGACTCTGCCCGACTGCGACTCAGTCAACACATTCTCCAGGAACAGTCTTACCAGGAATATACAAAAGACTATATGTAAATATTGTGTACACTTTCAATAACTTTTTTTTCTAAGTACATTTTGTGTTGCATTATTATTCCATGCATTAGTCAAGTTTCAACAAGAACAAAATGATATTACATAACAGTTCATCGCACTATTTTTTTTAAATATATTTATAACGATATTTTCCTATTTCTTAATACTTTGCTTAGTTTTTGGAAGACATTTTACTTTCCAATTCGCTTTTGGATTTTGCTCTCACATATTTCATCCTATGATATATTCCTAGACATTTAAACTTCTGTGCTTGTTTGAGTCTGACGTCTGACATCTCCAATTCCAAGCTTGAGTTGCTGCTCATCGTCGAGTTAGAGGGGGTTCCGTACACGATACCAGGAAAATATCCAGTTACCTTTGGCAGGTCTCTGTATATGACTAAATTGTTTAAATATAACGCTTAAAGTAATAACAAAGGAAATAGTGAGTAATTTGACAGATTATCACTAAGTTCAACCATTACAAATGCCCCGTATTCTTCAGTACAAACATATACATCTATCGGTACAAACATATATATATATATATATATATATATATATATATATATATATATATATATATATATATATATATATATATAACCTCATGAAACAAATGCATAAGCATAAACATACTCCTATATATATATATACACACACACACACACACACATATATATATATATATATATATATTAGTGTATTTCGGCAGCAATCCTTCTTTCATGCACATTTCATTAAAAACGACACACAAGGTGCTTTTATTTAGTTTTTTTTTATACAATTTCTCATGCGATCTAATAATTTTTTCTTTTTGGATGGTAAATTATATAAAAACTGTCCGAATGTTCTTTTCATCCGAGCGCTTTCGGCTATACATTTAGCCATTTTCTAGGATTATATTTTAACTGTTAAAATAAGAAAGAGTTTGTTGTATGAATATTTTATAAAATGTTTTCATTTTTTTGTTTCAAACTTTGAACATGGACATAATATCTTGACCGTGTTTTGAAGAGCATGAAACAGAACTAATGCTTTTAATTTAATCATATAATCAAATTTGACGTTTTTAGCTTCGGTTTTTGAAACATGGTAATTCCTGTGTAGCGAAGAAACCATATTTTAAATCATAATATATATATATATATCTATATATATATATATATATATATATATGAACTCATTCATATATATATATATATATATATATATATATATATGTATGTATATATATATATAAAAACATACACACACACATATATGTTTTGAACAATAAAGAATATTAAAAATAAAAATTTTCAGACATATTAGTTGTATATTATTATTTTGGGGTTTTATTATTTCAGTTAGGTTCCTCGACTAATTTCGGTCAACATGGTTATCGTCAGGAGAAAAAAAAATCCCTGCTTGTTGGTAGCAGTGAACTACAGGATTGAATAACTGTTTCCGAAGAGAGCGAACTTTATCTGTAATTTTCATTTATTGTTTTATCGTTAATTTTGGTCAGTCCTAGTGTTGGTCAAACGGCCTCTTTCAGATTATTTCTAAGATAGAGAAAGGAAGATAACTGACTTTCAGAATACCCTCCTTGGTTATTTTGAGAGTTTTATTGGTTGCTGTGAATGTGATGTGTGTGTTAAGTGCATGTTATCTTTTAGTTCTTTGGGTGTGGGTGTGTGATGGGTTTATGTGTATGTATTTGTGTGCGTGGATAAGTGTGAAACCTCAACACCTTTGCAAGTATGCCAGTCTTGTGTGGTAGAGAAATGTGGGCAGGGCTTGATTTATGTGGTTATATATTAATTTTATCTGGGTTGTTAAATTTGTGATTAAGCCCGTCTGGACGAAATGTTTTGAGGCGCAACATCCATTTGTCTTCATGTTCCTCTAGTATTTTTCTAAGGTTATCTTTTCTATTTCTATTTTTTTCAATTATAGTGAATTTTGGATGGCTTTCAAAATCATGTTTTTCTAGGGGAAATATACATATATATATATATATATATATATATATATATATATATATATATATGCCCCGGAAAAATCTATTTCAGTTGAGCTCTCTGGGGAGAAAGTGTGGGTTTGTAAACAGTGACTATTACGGCTAATAATGCAAGACTCTTCGGTAAATCGAATCGAGTTCTTTCAGTCACTGTGTGTTTATCTAAAAATAAATACGCTTAAATTCACCTTCACCCCTGCCATGCGCCAATGGCTTAGTTGGGTTTCGATTTTTGCTAAAGGCGATCAGACGTCTAGCCACACTGATGAGCTGTGATACGGCGAAACACTCTTTCTGTAGATAACTATATATATATATTGTTTTGAAACCGCAAGGCCTGGCGAAACGAAATCGAATTTTATCGGTCTCGTAATATATTACAATGGCTTTCTGAAGTCTCCGATTTGTTAATTATATATATATATATATATATATATATATAACTATTTTTTATAAAAAAAAAATTAAAATCACTGCAAAAATAGCCATTTTGTTTCAACACCCTCGGTATCTTATCAAGTGATGATGTTGAAGATAAAATAAATGGTGTTTAAAGTTTCAAATTAATTAACGATCCTTCGCTTGTTGGTTATTGGAATTCATTCCGTATACACAAATTATATATATATATATATATATATATATATATATATATATATATATATATATAAAAACCGAGTGGTTTGAACGTTCGCTTCCTGGGCATGAGTCTTGTGTTCGAATCATATTTTGTTTGTCAGGAAAGAGACTTCTTGATGTCACCTGCCTGTGGAGGCGAATCTAGCGTACGACTCTTGGGAAATGGCTGGAAAACATTCTATGAGTTGACCCAAGCCTTGTGAGTGAAACTGGGTAGACAGAGTTATTCGGAAGCCGGCGATGGTTGTGCTAGCACGAAGTTACAAGTCATCGTGACCGAGAGTTTGAATGCACAGGCATTGTTCAAACTGCTGATCATGACATATTATGCGCTCCCTCCCAGAACCTGTAACTAAGATCTGCTGAGCATAGTTGCAGGCGGGATTTCTGCGTGGTGAATAAGCACATATGTGCCTGAGCAGGTATCTGTGAAAAGGATTGACGAGTCGTTCTAGAATACTTGAAAAACAATAGTTGTCAGCAATTATATGTAGTCTAAAGTTTATTTACTAATATACCAGTAAAAGTAACTATAGACATTGTACTACAGAATATATACAGTCACACTAAGAGTACTTTGAATTGGTATAATATAATGAATATTTTCTATGAAAATTTCTCCGACATTCAAGCCGGTAAATGTTGTTTAATACTGTTTATTATAAACAGAGCATTTACTGAAATATTTTTATCTATAAAAAGAATGTATAAACATAAAAATGTCTTAAAAGTAATATTCGGACTTTGTCCATTTCATATATATATATATATATATATATATATACACATTAAGAAATGGACAAATCCCGACAATTTATTAAAGACATTTTTATGTTTAACATTCTTTTTATAGATACAAGTATTTAAGTAAATGCTCTGTTTATAATAAAAAGCCTGAATGTCCGAGAAATTTTCATAGAAAATATTGGTCCTTTGACAGGATTCGAACCAGCATCCTATACGGAACCGTCATTTAGCTTGATGTGCCTAACCTCTCGGCCACAAAGGATCGTCCAGCTGGGAAGGTCGAATTTACTGCTTATAAACTTCAATCTTCAGGCCGGTAAATGTTATTTAATACTGTTTATTATAAACAGAGCATTTACTTAAATACTTGTATCTATAAAAAGAATGTTAAACATAAAAATATCTTTAATGAATTGTCGGACCATTTCTTAATGTATGACGTCATTTGTTTACATTTGATACGCCATGAGCAGTAATGAATGTACGAGATTCATGGAATATAGGATGCAGGTTCGAATCCTGTCAAAGGACGAATATTTTCTAAGAAAATTTCTCGGACATTCAGGCCGGTAAATGTTATTTAATACTGTTTATTATAAACAGAGCATTTACTTAAATACTTGTATCTATAAAAGAATGTTAAACATAAAAATGTCTTTACTATATATATATATATATATATATATATATATATATATATATATATATATATATATATATATATATAGGATGCCAATAAAGTCACTATGCAATTACTTATAGTCAAATAGCAAAATCTTGAACCAGGTGGCTTGCAGCAGTTCAAATAGCATCAGTAATTAATTTACTATTGTTTAATAATAAAAATTCGATATTAAATATATATTAAATAATAAATTTCTGTACTGTTGATTATTTACTTTATCTTGTTATTATAAGTAAGTGTATAGTGACTTTATTGCCACCCTGTATATTTGTGTGTGTGTAAATTCGTTCATATGTTTCCTTTGTACAAAACTATCTATTTCTGTTTGTGCGTCCATATCTATCTATCTATCTATCTATCTATTTCCGTTTGTACATGTCTATCTCTGTAGATATCCTTGCGTGTTTTCTATTGTGTTTATTGATCTGAAGTTCGAGCGTAAAGGTCAGTGATGGTAGCCTTTGTCACGGAATGCTGTTCGGACGAATTTACTTTTTGGTGACCTTTTATTATTTTTTTTTACTTCACAGACTCCCTCTTCCCCCTTTTCACCTCAGAATTTCCCACCGTCCTCCGTCACCCTTCTTCAGCATTATTGCCGTTGAACGTCATGTCAGCTACAATACATCCTGTCGCATTTTACCGCGATGTCGCATGCTGTAGAAATCTCTCTCTATGCTAACGAGAACAGATTTTTAATGAAGTCGAGAAGATTTGGGGGAAAAAGCTCACATTGAAAAATGCTGGAATTATCTAGAAATTTCCATTCATGAAATAAAAAGTTGTTGAATGTTAAATTTGGGGAATAAATTGTGACGAATTACCTGAATCTGTATAAGCAAAATGGTTTGTGTGTTTGTCATGTAGACGGCCATTTGCAACACGGAACATGCACGAGTGCAACTCTTCAAATAATATCGGATGATGAATTCATAAATTCGACGTGGATTTAAGGGTTCCCTTTAAGATTCAAATAGTTTGCTATCAGCAGCTTATTTGTTGCGACGATTATTTAAGTCTTTGTCGTATTTCTGCCTTCCGTTGGTTGGTTGGTTTTCTTTAGTGGTATATCTACACCTCTGTACTGAAATCTAAATATTTTGAACATAATTTTACGGCTTCAAATATTTTGAACACAATTTTACGGCTATATTTTCTACGTAATTCTTTGCCACCAATTACAGATAAAATGTATTGTTGGTCATTTTCTATAAAATGTATTGTTGGTCATTTTCTATAAAATGTATTGTTGGTCATTTTCTATAAAATGTATTGTTAGTAATTCTACTCTAAAATGCATTGTAGTTTGTCATTTTGCTTTAAAAAGGTAACTTGACTATAAATACACCTTTGTGCAAATTAAACTGTTTTAGTTTCCTTTCTTTCACCATACGCTCAGTTTTAAA